CAGACCAGTAATTCATATTGATTATTTATTATAATTCTGCAAACTTTTATGATTTTACCAGCTTTTCTAATATGGACCTCAGATTCTTGTTAACACTCCATGGCACAAATACTGTTCCCTTTAGGCTCTGTGTATGTGTGTGGGTATCAATATTTCTCCCATTTTAAAGTATTACTCCTCCATAATTGTATTTCTGTTAAATCAAAGTACTTTTACTACATCTTAGTACTTCTGCTCAATCATAGTATTTCTGCTAAATCATAGTATTTTTGCTAAATCATGGTTTTTGTGCCAAATCATAACATTTGTGTTATGTTATAGTATTACTACTAATTGGAGGAATTTCTGTCATGTTACAGTATATGTGCTGATTACAGTATTTCTGCTAAATCATAGTATTTCTACTATATTATATTTTTCTTTCTAAATATAGCATTTCTGGTATATAATTGTATTTCTGCTATGTTATAATATTTGTGCTAAACCAGAGTATTTGTGCTAAACCAGAGTATTTGTGCTGAAACATTGTATTATAAGTTATATACACACATATACACACACACACACATATACACACGCAAGGTGAGTGAGAATGAGAGCAAAAGTGATTTACAGAGTAAAAACTGAAATCAGAATGAAAAAGAAAGTGGACAAATGAGTCAAATAAAGGAAAGTTATTCATTCAATAACATCACATTTAGCAGTGGACAATCTGGCCAAAAGATTATATTAAAATCTTTTGCGGTACCATTGCAACTGACAGATTTAGCCCACTACATGATTAAGTCGTGCAAAAAGCTGTATGTGTGTGAAGCCTAACATGTCATCTTAAAGCTAAATGTCAAATTAGTACATTTCTGCATTGTGTTGTGATTTTATCTGAACACATTCCGCCCAGAAGTGATCATTCGTATCTTCACCACATTTACAGCAGCAAAGTCACTTTATCAAACTGCTGGTTTAAAATCTAAACCCCCCCCACACACACACATACACACACAAACAAACAAACAAAAAAACCCAAACCAAAACATTCATGACATATCACTCAGCTATGTCAAAAAAGGATCATGGTTACACATCGTCATCATTTTTTCCTATCCTCCCTGCCTGTGGCTAATGTGGGTAACACTATTAGCAAGGGTGGGCTGGATCTATTTCAGTCTCTCACTAGTTTACAAGAATATGGCAAATTTTTTATAAATACAGATGCGATACAGAGAGCTTTCATTTTTGCTTTTTCACGACAACATTTATCTGACAAGTGTGCTCTGTTTGTGTAGAACGTGATAAGATCACATTTCCACATGCTGAAATCTGCTGACAGGGGGTTCGATAAAAAGCTATAACTTTTTCCCTTCCAAAGATACGCCTGACTCTTCACCCGTGTTCACTCATTTAGTTTCAGATCACCCACTTATATACCTATATGCTGTTTTAAGTGCATGTGTTCCCACTGAAAAGCATTGGTATATACAATATCGTCCAAAAAGTCTTGATCCAACATCACTTCTTTACATTTTCTTAGGAAAATTGAAAATATGCCCCATTTTATATTGAAATATGTGCAGACAAATGGAAATAGAGTACACAAGGCAAAAACAGAATTTGTATAGTTTCTAATGAGATTCAAAGTCAACACTCGGTATGACCAAGTACACAGCAAAGCCTGAAGCAAACGCCCCATTAGACAAGAAAAAGACTACTTAAAGACTGTTTTTAAGTAGAAGTACTGTTTTACCTCTCTTCTGACCACCTCCAATTTGAATTAAAAAAAAAAAAAAAAAAAAAAAGTCATTACAGTAATGTACTGGACGTGTAGTTTGCCCCCCCTCCCCACCTCATAAGAATGACTTCCTGACAGCCACCCTTCCACTGAGACCATTTCTAATGTGGTTTCACTAGATGAATCAAGTTTCTTGACGTTTACATCCTGTTCATCTACTTTATATAGGTTTTTAGGCCTGTCGCTTCCCCCCCCACTTGTCCAGTTTCCTTAGTTTTATTTTAAGAACACACTGCATACCATGCTGAGATATACCAAGCTAATAGGTCTTCAGAAATTCAAGGAAAAAAAACAACAACAAAGAGTTTAGATCACTTTAAAAACATTACAAGAAAGCCTAGTACTGTATAGCGCATGACAAGTACCCGGATTTTGTACTTGTAACAGCCAATAAAGATAAACAGGCTGTTCACTGACCCTGAATGATCACCACTGTGTGTACATAGCAGTAAGACCATGAAAATATTTAAAGTAGGAGTGGAAGTCATTGTCAGTACTAACAGAGTCAGTGGATGACTCTTTTGTAGACCGATCTGGAAGTTTGTATCAGTATGATTACCTTGACAAAAAGCCAAAGGGGGGTTTCCATAAGTCGTTGGAATGGAACACAAATTAAGCTTAACAGAAAATTAAAATGGCATTGTACTGACACATTCTGTTCAGCAACAGTATTTTCACTGACACCACTTTTATGATATTTAAACAGTAAATGCAAATTGCCAAAAAAGTAAAAGCCTAGCATTAGGAGCTGAGAATCAAATATAAACTTAATAATAAACATTAACATTCCACTAAGTGTCTTCAACTCAGACGGCTGATCATTCTATTTTGAATGATCAGTGGAAAATTCATATAAATAAGTTTGCTACATGGAGGGAAGATTTAGAATTGGTAAGATTGGAAAATAGCTTGCGTTATAAAAAAAAATAAAAAAATAGTGCTGTCAGTGTTAATCTCGTTAAAATTACGTTAATGCCATAACCGCACTAAAGCGGGAAATCTCCGTTAGCGAGTTATCGCGGATTGCTCCGTGTGTGGGGCTGCACGGCGTTGACACGTTAGCGTGGTTAGCTCGTTAACGCGTTAGCGCCGTCGAGCCCCACACATGCAGCGATCCGCAATAACTCGCTAACGGTAAATGTAATTGTGTCCAGGTGCACAAAATCTGCACATCCTCCCAAAAATGTTGGGAAGATGTGCAGGTTGTAATGAGGAAGAAACATTTCTAAATGTCTGCTGGATCTAAAATCTTAGCTGTTTGGTTTATACTCAAAAAAATATATATATATATAGTAAGAGTGAAAAGTTACTGGTGGCCTGCTAAATGCAAAAAGAATTACAGCAATGCTACAGAAGAAAACAAATAGACCAAGAAGTATTCAAAGGGCAAAACAAAATACAATCAAACCTGCCACGAGAAAAAAATGTATGTATGTTCTTAAGGTAAGCTAGAAATCTCTGGGCATGTATCGGTGACATTTATGGATTTTAGCAAAAATACCGACTTATCTGAAGAGGATACTGAAAACTGTCTGTGAACGCAAGACTGATGTATGAGTATGGGCAGAAGAGGGAAGAGTTTGTTTTTTTAATCGGTTGTTTATGCAAGTCTTGTTCTTCTGTTTGTGGTTGTAGAAAATGAACATTCAATAAAGACATCCATCCATCTGCTTCTGCTTATCCTTTTCAGGGTCGCGGGGGGCGCTGGAGCCTATCCCAGCTGTCATAGGGCGAGAGGCGGGGTACACCCTGGACAGGTCGCCCGTCTGTCGCAGGGCTAACACACAGACCGACAACCAGTCGCACTCACGTTCACTCCCGCATTCACACCTATGCACAATTTAGATTAATCAATTAACCTATCCCCACTAGCTGCATGTCTTTGGACTGTGGGAGGAAGATGGAGTACCCAGGGAGAACCCACGCAAACACGGGGAGAACATGTAAAAACTGCACAACATGTAAAAACTGCACACAGAAAGACCCCAGCCTGATGATGGAATGATGGGCGGCAACAGTGCTGCTCTCAAAGTCATTGTTAGGAAAAAAGACAAACATCAGGCTAAATACATTCTACGAAAGTCAACATTCATGAGTGGGGTATTTATTTACTGCATTTTATGAATAGAGTGAAATCAGAGCCGTCCATATTATTATTACTGTGCTGCTGGAGCCTTCTGTAACATTTTAATGCAGTAATTTGAGATAAAAATAAATAAAATCCTTTGTATATTGTGCCAAATTAGAACACTTCACGCTAGTTTATATTGTAAGACCTTGAAATAAAACAGAGAAAACCCCAACATTCAGATGACCCTCTTTAAGCAAGCACTGGGTGACAGTGGGAAAGAATTCCCTTTTAACAGGAAGAAACCTCCAGCAGAACCAGGCTCAGGGTTAGTAATAACTAATAATTAAATGCAAAAAAGGTGCATAAACACAGAGTTAAAAGAGGTTGAGTGAAGAAGAAATACTCAGTGCATCATGGGAAGCCCCCCTGCAGCCAAGCCTATTGCAGTGTAACTAGGAGAGTATTCAGGGTCACCTGATCCAGCCCTAACTCTATGCTTTAGCAAAAGGAAAAGTCTTAAGATAAGATTAATCTTACGCAGAGAGGATGTCTCGTTTCCCAAATCTAAAATGGGACCTGCTTCTACAGAAGAATAGCCCAAAAACTCAAGGCTCTGCCTCCCATTCTAGTTTTAAATACCCTAACGGTAAAGGAACGACATGTAAACCAGCAGCCAGAAAGTGAAGTGTTCTATTGGCGTGGGGCGGTCTTTACTTTAAGATGGGGCCTGATCATCTCCGTTTACATCAAGACCTTATATGTCCAATGTGTCACTTCTTGTACACTGTATACGTGTCAAATGGAGAGGAGGTGGCAGCTTGATGACATCAAAACACAATGGAGAAATAGAGCAAACAGTGTTCCAGTTTTTCTGGTTCTGGTCTTGTTTAAAGAAGATGAAGACACACACACACACACACACACACACACACACGTTACAGGTTTTATTGGTAGAGAAAATTCCGAAGTAGAAAAGTTAGTGCACCACTCTTTATTTAATGTCACTGCTTTTATAATTTATCAGAAAAGTAGACCATCTGTGATATGAAACTTTCAGCTGTCCACCCTTCAACCACATTTCCTGTCTGCTACGTCAATGATTCGGTTTTCTGAAAGAAGACACAGTAGGTCACAGATACTCACCCTGCACGAGAAAAGTGCTGAGAAGTTGGTCTGTGGCCACAGGTTTGATCTCAGTTCGCAGATTGATGTATCGGCCAACCACCAAAGGTGCTCTCCTGAAACCAAGGATCCTGCATAGAGGACGAAGATTACAAAACAGGACCGAAGATTATGACACTCTCGACAGACCACAGAATGTTTAAAAAAAAAAAAAGACAAAGAACTCAAATAACCATGATTACAAACCTGTCCAGGTGAAAAGCAGCTACCTCCGCATTGTGTCTGTCATAGCCTGCGTATGGCTCTCCTTCGACCACATAGTCTCTGTTGTACCTGAGCGAGGGTGGAAATAAAAATAAAATAAATAATAAAACAAAAGTAAGAAGAATAAATCAATCTGTGACAGAATTTTTTTTTTAATTAAGCCTGACCTCTTGGGTTTGAAGACCACTTTCTGTCCTCCGTCTAGCACCAGCAAGGCTTTGAGCTGTGTGCCCTTATAGCCCACATCTGCCCGCTCTATCCTGGCAGAGCTCAGGGAAGTAAGCACAGCAGCCAGCTCTGGAGTCTCTTCGGGGTACACCTCTCTGGGGCCCACCCATTGGCTTGCTATCTCCCATGAAGACTGGAGGGTGTTGGTAAGGCGAGCGCCCCGAGACAGTGAAAGACCAGCTTCCATCTTTGAGGGATGAGCAATAATAACACATTGCATGAGATAACATAAGATTTTAAATAATGAAACTTTGTTTATTAATACTTAAACAAGACCAGCATATTTTAAATGCTTTATAACACTGTTGGCTATGACTGTGCATCCAGTTAGTGATCCCAATGAAAGCACATTTTTTAATGTAAAAGTCAAAAGTTTCCATCCACTCATCATGGGCATGAGTGACACAATTATTTAAGTCTTTTAATGATTTCTTTGAGCTGTTCTTTTTCCAGAATTGTTTATTTCGGAATTTCTCTAATCCAAATAGGATTAAAAGTATACAGACAGACGTATATATACTCAAATATATACATACACCTTGGCTGATATTTCGTTAAATGTCCCTTAGAAACTTGCACGTCAACCAGAGGCTTTTAGTAACCATCAAAAAGTTTTAAGCTTACTCTTCTTGGTAGAGTTTATTTTATCAGGTTGGACCCGTCCACAAACTTTCAACAGGGATGAGGTAGGGATTTTGTGAAGGCCATTCCAGAAGTGTGTTCCGGAAGTTTCCAGTTCATGGCAGGCTTCCTGGGTTGTTGTTGAACATCCTCACCGATTTCCTTTCGTGCGAAGGTGACAGTTCGGGTCTTCTTTCAGATGATGGCAAAGTGGTAATACACCTGAATAACCTCTAGTTGCACATCCACCTGCAGTTGATGATCATGGAATCTCCAGAAGACCTTCCCAACTTCACAAATCCTCAATTCTTCTTCTGAGTTCCTCAGACTTTTCCAGTGTTCTGACTAGGGATGGGTATCGTTTAGGTTTTATCCGATACCGGTGCCAAACCGGTACTTTTGAACCGGTGCCGGTGCTTAAACGGTGCTCAAACCGGTGCTTAAAGAATGGAGAACACAAAATTGGTCCAAAACCCTCCCATGCTCAGCTGTTTTTTTGTAAAAAGATAACAATGTTAGCCTTTTCTGCAGCTATGGGGCATATATGGTATCACTCTTGGCTGGAAGCAGTGCTTAAACAATGGAAAAAACACAAACTTCGTCCAAAAACCTCTCATGTTTAACTGTTTTCCACTTTTTCTTTGGTCATTTTAGCCTTTTTGGCCAGGGTGAAGGGAGTATCTGCCATCAAACAAGAAGACAGCCGCATGTAGCTATGATGATGTTTGCTAGTTCACCTTACATGCATTAATGTAATAACGTGGTTAGCCTACTCAACGTAAATTACACACGAACAACATTAAGCTACTCACGCAGAGAAGAACGGCTGCTGCTGCATCATCATCCGTCATCATTTCTGCTACACTGGCAGGGCTAGGGGCCAGGACTCTCCTCTTCGTGTTTTTGGGAGATGTTGCTCCAGGTCCGATAACAGGCAACCCACCCGCAGTAGATGTGCACGGTGTGAGGTCTCGCAGCAAGCTATTAAATACGGCGCATTTCTGGGCTTTTAAAAAAAACGCTATGCGTCGCCAGGTGTTTTATCAGATTTGAGGCGTTACCTCCTTTGACAGTATCACAGTATCAGCTTAAAGCACTTGTTGCAGGCTGCTGAGTTTGCATATTTTGCTGTGAAGTACAGCCATACTTTTGACCGCTTCGCCTTGGGCATTTTTAATCTGTAGCTCTGCTCTAAAAGAACGTACGTACCTGGCCCCGCCTACTATCCTCGGAAACGTAAAATGATTGGCTAGAATCTAAAGTGTATCACAGCTCAGGAAAAATAAAGCACCGAAATGTGCGCTGCTTTTCGGTCTGGTTACTACCGTTTATGTCAGAACGGGTGCCATCATAGCACCGGATACTGGTACCCATCCCTAGTTCTGACTATTAGTCAATTCAATGAGTGCTGTCAAAAAAATCCTTTTTATGATGGCAAAGAGAAACTACCAGTCTATAGGCCTTGGCCTTGTCAAGTTAAAAGACACCGTAGAACCAGCTAATTAATTATTTAAGTGAATGTATATACACATTTCAGCCTGTATGTATGCTTTCGACCTTGTGTGTGGATTTGAGCATCCAGTTCCTTTTTAAAGTCATTAAAGACGTATGGTAAACAATCACTCCATCCTGTAAAAACAACCGCTCCAAGAAAGTAGTAATATTAAAAAAATGTAAATTACCATAGCATTCATGTCTATGGTGAGTGGAAACTTCTGATCGCAACTTTAACATGAAACAGCCCACTTGCATCCTGACCTTGCGAAACGCTCTGAGGTCCCGCCGGCTAGCTGCAGTTCCTTCACCTCCATCCAGCAGGAAGATCTTGGCCAGGCCCAGCAGGAGGAGCACGGCACACAGCACCACCATGCGCTGTTTGAGCTTCATTTCCACACTGACTGGCCCTGACCTCCTCCTTGCCTGTAGTTGTGCGTCTCCCCCACAGCGAACACCCCTCACCCTTGATGCATGGCCCCTGCAGCTCAGTCACCTTCCTCCCTGCCTGCACTGTAAGACCAACTTGTCTGAAGGACGGGAGCTTTTCTGCCTTTTCCCTGGAGCTGCAGTCTAAGCAAACAGGCAGTCACCAGCAGGGAGACAGCAGGAGAACTAGGAGAGGGAGAGATGAAAGATGTACTGTCAATAATATGTGAAGAGAAAACTGATTGATTTGCTGCCTCTCTGGCTCGGTTCCCCCCAGGGCAGAGGATGACCCAGTACTGCAGCACAGTTGAAACCTGTCCAGAATGTGCAACTACATCACGATGGCAGAGTCTGGTCTGTGGAAATGTGTGCGTACATTCAAAAGTAAGCTTTGTGCCAGCAGCAAAGCTTACTTACTGTAGCTGCTGTTGCCAGCTGGGCTTTATTAAAGGTGAGGGACCAACGTTTACAACAAGGTGGTTCACATCCCTTCCTCTCCTGCACGAGGATGAGGGGATAGGGTGGTGGCGGGGTGTTGTTGTTATTGAACCTGCCTTTTCTCACTTAAGAAATGATGGACATGTCGTCCTGCTGTGGTGCAGAGGGGGTCCACTCCTGCTGCTGCTGGTGGTTGACACATTAAAGTGGCTCTGCCTTTAACGCAGAGAAGAGTTTCCTGAACCACAGTGATGTTCATCTAATCCTAAACCTTTATCTTCAGCTACACACAAACGAGGCGTTACGGATCACAGCAGTTAAATTATCCAGCTGCCACGTTCACCTGCCCGTCACTTACCTGCCTCTGTTGCTCTCGTTGTGGCTGCCGAGCCGAAGTTAATGTTACCAGGCTGTGACATAATGACAACAAACCGGCCACGAACGAGCTACATTAAAAACACCGGTTAATAAGCTCTATCGACACGGGTTTGGCCACGCAGGCATCGGTGTCTCCCATACAATTGGTCTTTCATGCAGCCACCGAGGAAACGGCTGGCGAGCACTGCCCGCATAAAAAAAAACACCTAAAATACCAGAAAGGCACTTTTCTACCGGAGACTGCCCCCGTTATTCATTTCTGCCAGGTCACCACGGGCTCGTTCACATCCGTGACAACACAGCTAGTCGTTTAGCAAACCGCTGTACACCTTGCTGTGCGTGTTAGCTAAAGCAGCCCGCTAGTAGCACACAGTACGTCGTCTGTTGTGTTTACTGGGCACAGACCGAGCAGACTTACCTTATGCTCATACGCCGTTCACTGTAGATTACGTATCACACAGCTGTCCTTTCAGTCTTTCAAAACGAAAGTTGGTGTTAGTAAATTGGTTAGGTGCTAGAAGTCGCGGTGATTTCTCTCTTTTTTTTTTTTTAACCCCCCTCGGAAGCTCCCTTTCCTCCGCCCTTTTCTTCGATTCCTTCTGTGCCCTGCCGTGTCCACTTCCGAAACACTTCCTCCGTCTGCATGACAGCCAGGTAGCCACCAGGCGGCAGTGTTGCCCTGTAGGGCCCGCCCCCAGAAACTGAAACACCGTGTGTGTGCATGGGTGTTGCATATGCATAAGTAAAATGCAGATTGGCTCCTTGTATATCATTAATAACGGATAAAGATTTGTGTGGGATCAAACCTATGAGTGGAACACGACCTTTTGCTGACTTCTGAAGTGGGAGATCACACAAAAGGTTTGGGAACCACTAAAAGAAAGTCCCCAAACCTTTTTTTTTTGGAGATGTGAACTAATGTTATTATAGATTGACACCATTCTTAAAAGCTATAGGGGGCAAGATTTTGAGAACAGTTTGGGGTCCGTATTTCAATTAGAAACTGATGAGGAAAATAGATTTGGCAGGGTACTGACAACGGCCTGCCTTTGCTTTGATGAAAATCTGAAGAAAAATATCTGTTATACAGCCATTAAAAGCTCATAGGTTTAGTGACTCCTGGTCACCTCTCCCCCCTCTTGAGCAGGTGCTTTTGTTTGACTCGCTCATTCTCATTTTCCATCTTGGAAAATACCTCCCTCGTGTTACTGACGGCAACATTTCTCTATATCTCTTGCATGTGTGATAAACAGGAAGACGTACGAACGGTCGCAGGTATTCAGATACCTAAAATCACAAGCAATAATGGAAAACAAATATAACACTTCATGAAAGTAGCTGAGTCAAGCCTTTTGGCACAACTTCAGCCTGCTTGCAAGGTGCAAGGGGGAGAGGCGAAACTCTCAAGGAGCCAAAACTCAACGGCAACATCCTGGATGAAGACCACAGACAAATGTGTTGCACAAGCAATAAAAGTTGCTCTTCGTGCCACAAGTGTTGCAGACTTTTTGACCTTTAAAGACAGCTGACTAACGGACGCATTTAGCCCCCAGTACCAGTAAACGTATGACGCAACACCTCCACATTCTTATTGTTTGAGCAAAAACTTTATTTTTATTATGAAAGTTGGTTTTTTTCTTCTTGGAAGACAGACCACATAAAAAAAGAGATTATTTTAAATCATTTTATTTGAATAATTAGGAGGCCTGAGAAGTAAAAAAACAAAACAACCCCCCCTCCCCAAACATTTAAACTGTACTCAACAGACAAAACACCTTTAACTGTTAAAAGTACAAACAAAATAGTTAATACTTTATGTATGACTAACACCTCAGTGCGTTATTAGTAATGCAAAGCCAACATCTATAGTGTAGTGGATCTGACTGTAACCTAACGATGATTAAGAAAGTGTAATAAGAATAAAAAATAACCAACACAGAGTAACTGGAGTGCTCTGATTTTGTTTTTCGATATTTTGTTAGACTTAAAAATCTAGATTGCTTTAAAAAATATATGTTGGCATCACTACTACGAAGAAGCCATACTACTAGACATTGTGCTCATCACCAGTTCCAGATTTTTTTACTTTATTTTTTTTTAAAAAGGAGAAGGGAGGAGTGGGTGGAATTGTCAAATAGCACTGTGACATGTAATACGACCAAGACTCACATTCACCTGCACAAATCTGTGCTTCATTTCACAGTCGCACACAACCTTCAACAGAACGACGAGCATAAAATTGATGTGAAGTTTAAAAAAAAAAACAAACCAAAAAGTGTTTATTGTTACTCAGTCACTAGGCAGCGCATCACTCAGAGAGGTCATAGCACTGGCCACAGACACGATGCAGGCAGAGACGAGACACACACACAGAGCTAGGTAAAGGGTGAAGGTAATTTATACATCACCCCCATCAGCTTCGACGACTTAAAATGCAGGCTGCCGTCGTTTCCATCCTCGGTAAATGCTGAATGAATGCCTGGCTGGTGCACGTGAGGCACCGGTTCACATTGAATACACTTCTCCAGCCAACCGAAAGAATAAACATCCTCCCATCGAACCCTCCATCTCGACAACGAGACCATTAAAAAGACAGATCTAGAATGAGCTTTGCCCGGAACAGTTAATGCAGGGCAAGTTGTGCATGTGCAGACAGTATGGTCAGTTTTAAGGAAACAACACAAGCTCGTAATGCAGACACAAAAATGTTCAAGCGTGGCATCAAATTTCTTCATAAAAACCAAAAAAAGATTATCTTAATTTTAAAGGGAGCGTGGCTATATTACACTCTCCAAAAACAGAAGTAGTAGTGGTTGATCTTGAAATCCAACTCTAAATTAAACACCTGTTTCCATTACTTTGACCATATGCTGAAAAGAGGGAAAAAAAAAACAACCAAAAAACATGTAAACTCAGATTACAGTGAGGAAAACCACACATAAGAAAAAAAATGCCTGACATAATTTGGGTTGCTCTCAAAGAGATTATTGTACCCAGATTAATTAACAAAACAAAACAAAAAAACATTCTCTATTCCGATGTCCACAGTAACATTTGTCTTTTTCTTCCACCGTTCTCATCTAACATCAGATAAAGCTAATACAAAGAAAGGAAACATTTGATGGGGTCGCTGACCATCAAGACGAGCTTTGTTTAACATCTATGCATTTTCTCCTTTTGCACAGACCACAGCTTTAATTCTTCCATAGTTGCACAAACTTATTTGACGCACTGCAAATGACATACTGTCTGAATATGTCAGTTAAGACGGAATAACCAGCATCTTTAGACAAACACAGGTAAATCGTCTCTCAGCCACCCATCCTGTGTCTCACATTTCATCCATTTCATTCACAGACCTCTTTTTGTCCCTTTGGCCAACCAGCAGTACTCAAACATCAGTTAGCCTCCACAGTAAGTCACTCTGGGATTTTGTTGCTTCACAAAGTCTCTCCTCAGCGCGTAGCTCCAGCAACAGCGGACACAGATGAGTTCCACTTCCTCTCTCCTTGTGAGTCACCTTTTCTTCAGAATTTCGGCACAGCACAACTCAGTGTGGAGCCGTTGCATGAACTGGAAGTTAGCCACACACGATTAGGTAGCTGGTTAACCCCACTGCTCAGCAGTGTTGGCAGCCTCAAGGGATTGCCTAATCTGGCTTGAATTACAATGTTATTATAAAAATAGAGACGTATGCACAGGCACACATATGCGCACACATACTTTAAGTCACCGTCACATTACACAGGCCTGTTTTTGGCTCCCTCATTCATTCTTCCACAGGTTTATCCACTACAACGTCTCCTTTAACAAAAACAACTGAAACTCAATTAACCTGACACAAGCCTGGAGAAGAAGAAAAACCCATTAGAAAGCCGTTAGTATGGAACGTGTCCACCCCATTATCCTTTATCAACAGCCCGAAACCTTCTCCGAGTTTAACACGCCCCACTAATAGATGGGACAACGGTAGGCTTCCTATTAAATAGAGTATGTGCAGTGAAGGGATTGTGAAACTGGGCATAGGATTGTGTAAACATACAGTGTAAACAGCTATTAAAAAGGAAAAATTTGATGTTTGACTATTACTGAGCAAAAAAGCACCTCACTGTTGTGTACACCACCATCACTCCGCTCGTGTTTTTGCAAAAACCGCAAAAGTCAGCCTGTGGCATACTGACATATACGGGATGTACAGCGGAAAATGTAAATCCCCGGTTTTTCCCAACTGAAACATACCAGTAACTACACGTAATTGCACTGCAGCTCTGTCTTTCATTTTATAAAGCAGTAGAAAAACGTGGTTGCAATGTCGCTTTGTACTACTTATAACCTCGGTGCTTATGCCATTTCCAAAAATTCTGAAGCCGGGCTTAGATACGAAGATGAGGGTCAAAAATAGAAAAACTAAAATTCACATGTACTTAAAAATATTCAAAATAAATGCAAAAAAAGACATTCAAATGTAACAGAAACAAAATGTTGCTGTGCAATCATCTACTACATGGTAATACTGTGAACTGCACTGTCCAGCCCAAGAGGAAGAAAAGAAAAAAAAAAACACAGAAAAAACAAAACATAATAAACAAAGATTTAAAATAGACTCTGTATGGCTCCAGGTAGCTTTGAGTGTCTACTCTAAACCAGAGGAGATAAAATCATGTATCACAAGTTTCTGTTGCTCTCTTTCTTTGACTCTTTCACAGTTTCGAGTCTTTAGTGTTTTTGTGTATGCTTGTGTCTGGTGGACAAACCATCGCCTTTCTGAGCGGATGTCAGGCGGCAGCGAGCAAGCACTGGAGGAAAAAGAGCAACTCTCATCTACCCGACCGTGAACGCGTCTTAGCTTAGATTCTGGGATTATCGTACCTCTGTGGAAAACAGACAAGACTCCTCTGATTAAAGTGAACCTCCCACTCAGCGCAGTTATACCACCGCAAACTGAACAGTAATAAAAACTAGACACATTCAGGAAGTGTAGGAATTGTTTCTGCTGGAATTGATTGCGAATAAGAGCCCTTACGTTTGCAACGATGCAATCAAATATGTTTGTTTGTGTGTGTATGTGTGCACATGGTAAATATAAATAACCATGTGACTTCGAGCCAATGCAAGTGATTGAAGTGACCAACAATTTAAAGTGTGAAACAAGTAAGTAAAAATAAGTCTAAAGTCCGGTGAGTTAGTCTGACAAAGTGTGTTTGTTTGTGTGATCGTGTGTCCACCTGAATAAAAAGATGGAAAACTTTCTTTCAAGCATGGGGGGTGGATAGTTCACCCAGTGAAAAGGAGGTGGGGGGGACCACAAAAAGGGGGGGGTCTGTCCTCCCCCCAAAAAACAACAACAACAACAAAAAACAAAACAAAACCTGTCAGTCTGTCAGCAAGGAGAAGTCAAATGGCTCCAGTGAAGTTGCTGAACAGAAGACACCAAAAGCAAACGGGAGACATGAGCAGTGGTGCAGGTCCTTGTTCAGTAGTTAATAAATCCAAAACAGTCATTTTCATCCACACGGATTCGCATTCACTGTCAAATACAAACACACACACACACACAGGGTACTCTGGTTAAGGCAGTGGTGGCAGGTGAGGCTGCAGTGAGGCCAGGGCAAAGAATCGGAGAATCGGTGGTCAGGGTTGATGGCAGTGAAAGCTCCCATTACTGAGTCAGCACTCCTTCCCCATCGTCCTCGTCTGTCTCCTCATCCCTCTCTCCTTTGCTCAGCCGCACTTCTAATCACAAGTCACTCAAATGACATCAGATTGGCTGGCACCTGTGAAAAAAGTCAGATTTTACAAAATGCACCTGTTAATCAGCCTCATGCATGTCTGTGTGTGCATATTCGTGTCTTCATACCTGTTGCCTATTGCTCTGACAGGCAGCACTCAGATGTTTGTACCAGAGCAAAGCATTCATTCTGTTCCCTGCCTGGTATTTGTAGGTGTTACCTAGGCAATGGAAACAAACAGAGTGAGGTGCCAGGTCTTGTAACCACCTGCTCTCTCAACAAGCTGGAAAGATGACTAAAAGCCTCACTTGACTTTGGTCTGCCCGATAAATTCAAAGCAAAGTCATGTGAAAAAATCTATGACAAAGTCAGATGATTTGTGTGTGTAAATGCACATAATTAACACCTGTGTATGAACATTAAGGATGTCAAGTATGACTAATCTGCAGGGCTTAAAGTGACAGGTTATAGCAAAAACAAATAATAAACATTTTTCCTCCGCCTTTTAGAGATATGTACTAATCTGGATAATTTGGATGTCAACTGCTCGATTTTGCATAATGGCTTTGGAAAATTACTTCCTTCTCTTGAATATAATGAAGCTGGATGGCACTTGACTTACATGCACAAAAGATACATCTAAAAAACCCTGCAGGTAAGTGCACTCTCAGAAATGTACAAACCTTTCTGTAAGCACTTTCAAGTGTTTAGTGCATGCAACTTTTCATGTGGGACTATTTTCTTCCAAACTACAAAACACGCTGAAAGCTTAACAGATGCAGCTCAGTCAACAAGCTGGACGGATGTCGTTTGGAAGAAAGAAAATGAGGACTGTGAGGTGAATGCCTGTGTAAATGAATTGTCCCCTTTAGCTCACAGAGAGCCTCGCTGTTCAGCTGCATTGTGGACACCACCCACATGTTTGCGTGCATTGGTGCAAAATTTTGATCAAAATGACTGAAGAAAAGAAAAATTGTTACCACCTGAATTTCACAATGAGATTATGACATTTCTTATCTTAGCTTTGGATATGTTGGCAGGACATCTTGTATTCAATATGGTTAAGCAACTGTCATTACTGTATGAGTGTTATCTGATTATTTAGATTCCTTCAAGTTAAATTTATAGTCATTCAGAGCATGAAGGTGAGCAAGAATAACAGATAAAGACTCAGAAAGAAGAACTAGGCCCCTCATGAAAACGACAATAAAATTGACAAAAACAAACAGCTTAATAAAAAAAACTTATTTTGGTCTGGTTTTTCGCCTTCTGTATTGTGAGCATGAAGAGATGCCAAAAATAATAACTGACAAGCTTCAGCTTCAATTTAAACCTCCTGACCCACTTTACAATTTTAATGCATCCTTTTCACACACGGACTGTTCCTTGTATTAATCATTTCCTCTTTGCTTTCTCCCTCTCACGTGTTCAAGTCTCACCATGCTCAGAGTCGGTCAGCAAGAAGACGTCAGGGTGCTCAGGATCGTCAGCCATCATAGCCATCAGACCGACCACACACACGATCTTGCTGGACGTGGACTTGAACTGGTAAGAAGCAAAACCAAAACATAATCAACCTTCTCTGTTTACACGCGGATGAATTATTAACACAAGCATTGTGTGTATGTGTGTGAACTCCCAGCATTGCATTTGCACTCCACAAGGTTCTCATTAGCCTGAGTGACACACAGGACTGCGAGTGATGTCACTGGCCTCATTATTCAATGAGTGCTACCATCTGTCCGTCTGTACCCCCGCTGCACCACGGTCCAAAAAAAAAAAAACTTCCTTGCACACTCAAACTCACACTCCCTGCATTTCCTTCTGCTTCTCTGCCTCTTTTGAACTTCTATAAAGTTTCAGTAAATGCTCTCAACCAACTGATGCTATACACCATAACAAACACACACTCACACACCCCAAGCCTACTTGTTTTTGAATAATGTCGTGTCGACATGACATGAAAAATTTACAGCTCTTTGTTTTCGTTTCCCTTTTCCCCTCCCTGTGCATACCAAGTACAAAGCACATGAAAAAGAATCATTAAGTGTTTTTTTTCAGACTTTCAGAGTAAAGTTTTTAAGACTGAGTAAGTAATGGCTATCATATGTCGTCTCCTTATAAAACAGAGTGTTTTGGGGTCATTTGCTACGCCGACTCACTTCTATCAACACCTGCAGTTCGTACAGTGGACATCTAAGACGTTTGGACGTCTCAGTGTCGTTACATTACGTTCCATCTGTTGTCCTCACCTGCTCGAAGAAAACACCACCTCTATAGCACCTGTTGCAAAAACGCTGCCCATGCATGCGTCACCAGAGTGTTAAAGAGTGTGTGTGTGTGTCTTACATGTTTTCTCTCAGTGGCCTTCAAGGATTTGGCAGGGTAGTAGTAGAGTTGGGTTCCACACAGAGCAACCCAGTATTTGGTCCAAGATGCCACCTAGAGGCACAAATTGATATCTGATCACACACTCTGATTCAACCACATTAAGTCAATGAAAAACTACATAGAGTGACACTAACATGGTAACAGACTCTATATTAAAGCCACAGGCAAGAAAGCAAATGACACTTATCATCTTTTACAATGTAATCTGATGCTTGCCATTCACACGGACTTAAACTAAGAAGCTAAAAAACTCTTATAAACTAATCACACCTCCAAAATGGCAACAACCTCTGCTAGCTGGACAATACACAGGAATGGCTCAAGAAAGACGATACAGAGCCAAAGGCACTGACCCAACCAAGTCTCCAGATCCCAAATACTGGGAATGGACATTAGACTCGTGGAAATCTGTTTGGCCCAAGAGGTTACGATTTTAGACTTTTGGGTCCAGCTGTTAAGCTTTTTCTGAGATGCGGAGAAGGGGGAATGGATGGCATTTCCATGTGTGGTTCCCACTGTGAAGAACTGATGAGCAGCTTTGATGGTGTTGATAGGTGGGTTGGGGGCTTTTCTGGTGAGTCAAAACATACCTTTGGGCTTTGTAAGGGTTACATTCACCCACGAATGCTAAACTGGGATGAGATGGACTACAAAAGGAAAAGCAGCTGACAAGTGCTCAGCATATGTGGGAACTCCTTGAACAAGCATTTCAGGTGATGACCTCATGACGCTGGTAAAGATGTTGCCAATATTGTGCAATGCTGTTATCAAAGATAACAGAACCTTAAAATTTAAAACATATTTGAATAAAAAAATAAATAAAATCCTTTCTTGTGCTTGTGAAAGACTCAACATGCAATCTAAGGAGCTTGTTCTGCAAACTACAAAAAGACTTAAAATTAATAGAAACGAAATAAAGAGAAAACGCATGAATGAAAATGGGATCAAGTGAAGCCATTAATTAACACGGCAGGTGTGGAGCGCCAGACTTTAAACCATCATCACTACCTATGACAGTCTTTAGTTATTTTAAGTTCATATAAAGCTCCACATTTATTCCCAGCAGAAACATAAGGGGGTAATCTTAGTGTCACAGGGTCGGGAGGGTGAGGTTAATGAGAAAACATGTGGAACAGACAGAGAAAGATATTCTGCAGGTTAAGAAGCCTCTGAGGTCCCATCTGTGATTGACAGTATATATGTCCCATGTGCTCCTGCTTAGGAGTACATGAAGGTATGGGCAGCACATGAAGGCACGTGCGCGTCTGCTTATCTAGACAAATGTGTGAGTGTGTATTCTCACAGTTGGTTTCTTGCCCTCCTTGAGCACAGTCTTTCGCCTTAACACTCCTTGCACTGTGACTGCTCCAGGGTACAAGTGAACTGCAAGTTCCTCTGACTCAGCTGAGCTGCAATGGGACAAAGACAAACATTACCCCTTAAATATAAAAACATGCATACAAGAAAAAGAACATGCATATTTCCATGCACACCATATAGATTTAGAGATAAACTAATAGTACAGCCAGATGCAATCTGCAAAGCTACCTTTACCCCTGCTTTCTGCCTAAGTAGCCCCCATTTTGTTTTGACAAAAATGAATTTCAAAGATTTAAATCTCAACACTGCTATCACAAAAAAGAAGAGCAAAGACGGGAAAAGCGGTGTGCAGATTGTGTCTGTCTGGAGGATCAGAGTAGGAAGCTCAGTGCAGGAGTGTAGCGAAGCCTGGTTGGGGGGGGGGGGGGGGGGGAGACAGAGACAGAGAGAATCCCTAACCGCAAGAGATGCCTAATATGCAATGTCCATGACAACTGGACGTTAATGCTCCTGAATAGTCTGCTTCTCTTGACTATAGGAATGAGGATTTAACAGTTTCTTTCCAGCGACAGCACTGTGACTGTGACTTTGGAAATTTGCTTTTACCTCCAAGCTGTGAAATACTTTGGAAACTAATCACAAAAAGAAGTCTATTTTGACTATAATCTCAGGATCTGGAAAGATGATATCTGAAGCATATGGTAATATAGATTTTTTTTAAAGGTTTTAATAAGGTGCAGTAAGATTCATCCTCAGACTTCTTGTCTGTTAAGTCAACGCTTGTAGCTTTAGCTGGCTGACGTGCAGACTCCAATACCTTGACTTCAACCTCAATAAGTCTGAGAATGAGACAGGCATGCAAGAAATTCGAGAAGGCAGCAAAAGATAAAGAACCATAAGAATCCTTTTCCCTTCACCAGATATGTGATTTCACCAGCACATACACTCTTATTTCAAACTACAAGATTACCCCAGCAGTACACACACTAAGCACCAGCACACAGCAGCCCCTGGCAGGGACTCAAGGGTGGAAAGTGAGGGCAAGAGAGGCTTTGGCTCAGATCAAGTTTGTTCCGGTCGAGATGGGTGTACCTGCTGGGCCTCAAGACGCCTTTGTAGGGGATGCGGGCCACACGGGTCACTGGGCCCAGAGAGTGATAGAACCGAGTCCTGTTCAGAATAGCATAAGATAGGATAGGACAAAATAGGGGGCACGGGATACTGTTAAGGCTGTGTGGCTCTCTTTTTCCCCCACTGTTGTTTTTTGTTTTTTTGTTTTTTTGTTTTTGCCTTATTTAAATAGCATGGATTAGGGAAAGATGAAGAGGAGTTATTTGGTTAGAGGAGTTATCGATGGATGTGTTTTTTGGGTTACTCAAAACTTTAAAAAAAAGGAACAGTGCTTTAAAAGAGGTTAAGATGATTTTCAAGCAAGTAGATTCTTCAGCTGAGCATTTTTTCCTCATAGTTTTGCTCCAGACACAGGTTGGCACGGGGGCTGCTAGACTTAAATGTTAAAGCAGTTAATACATTTCAGGCTGCTGGAGAAGCAGAAGCACCTTTACATCTTTGCTAAAGGCAAAGCGCAGCAGTGGACGGATGAGGCATGACTGCCATGGCTGCAAGGCTAAAAGCATGGCGCGTGTGAGAGGGTTTCAATGGCAGATCGTTTTGCATAAATGTGCCTTGAAGCCAGAGCTTTAAAATTTAGATGATCACATCCAGGCTGGGGATTTTTTTTTTTCCTTCAATCTGATTTTTGCATGTGGTTATGATGAAAAAACAGTGAAGACATGGATGCATTAGCTTTACCTCTCAAAAGCTGGCCAAGACATCTCTTCGCTGAGCTCCGAGCCCTCACTGCTCCCTGTATACATATAAAAAACATCATAAAAACATCCACTGAACATAAAAACTCTACTTCATAACTGTAGAGGTGTAAGTTTTACCAAGTGAAATGCCACTGGACAGAGTCGAGCTCTCTGCTTGTCCCCTGGTAGGACTGTGGCTTTCCATCACGCTGTCATCCAACAGATGGCGAGAGCCAGCATTGGGAAATGTAGCACTTTTAAACTCTACTGTATTTGTCTTATGGATAAAGCTGTGGAGACACAACAAAGCAGACAGAGTAGCACCAGTGTGTATGTGTGTGTGTATAAATTTTTTAAACTATAGGACATACATCTGAAAATTATTTCTTATAAAAGATTAACAATAGAAACTGACTTGTAGCCCAGACTGTGGCACTTCCTGTGTCCGTAGGGCAGAAGGTTCCTGGGGGATGGAGGTGTTGCTGGGACTTTGGTTCCGTCTGGTGCTACCGCACATTTACGTCCACAGAGAGGAGATGCTGACGCTTCCTGACCTGTAAACAGAGTAAAACCACAACAGAAGAATAGAGATGTCATGTTCATGGTGTGTACAGAAAAAAAAAACAATTCTTTATTATTCTTATTATTTTAAAGAACTTTTAAATTCCACTTTAAGTGAAAAAAGGTAGGACATTGAAATGCACAGTGACATCGAAAACAATCTTTGCGAATAAAGACATTAATGACAGTATAACAGGATCAATCAATTAAAACATGTTACTTTTTAACAACATTGGACAAATGTGTCATTTAATTTGAAAATAAAACAAAAACTATAATTTTTGTTAGAACTGATATACTAATGTGCAAATTTGAAACTACTTGGACATTCAGTTCAGATTAAGTGAGACTAAACTCACCGACAAGATCCTCTTTGGAGGCGTTGGCTCGTGGTGTGCTGGTGCCTGGCTCAATCTTCTGTGACAATCTAAAGAAAAAAAATGCAGCATAAATCAATTGAAAAATCAATTTCAGTACCCTACAATACTCTTCTGTAAATTCATCATGATGAAAAGAAACAAGCAAGCAGTACAATTAACAGCACAAACATCTCTCTTTATCACCTTGGCAAGAAATCATAACTATAATGCAAAAGCTTTGTTTGTTTGCTTCTTACTTGTAATTGTCATCCTCCACAAACTTCTGCAACTCCTCAATATACCTGACTGAGTTGAGATACTTCTGTATATGAGGCAACACTGGTATATCTGAGAAAGAGAAGATACAGGCAGACATGAAATTAAAAACACATGTGTACATGTGAGCCTGTGTAACACAAGCTGCCAGCATACTTTACGTTGGCTAGAATAAGGGTCTGGAAAAAGGATAACATTAGTACTTTAAACCAAACACAGCTCCAGAGCAGCAGCCGCCTGAGTGTAGCTAGGAAATAGCTGTGTCTTAGTTTTAAGTACTTAAATGACCAACACCTATTTGAAACATCTGCATATTTTTAAAGAACATGAAAAACAACCGGTTTCCAGTAAGCTGTGGTTGTGTGCTGGAGGACTTTTAAACCCGCTTTATGTAGAATCTTCCTCGAAGGGTATTAGCCAATTTTAAGCAAATATTTGTACTAATTCAAATGACTCACTTCCTGCTCCGCTTTTAGTGAGTAACAGTTTGAATAAAGCCTTATGGTGGGATTTTTGGTGCTGCAAATGTGCCGGTCCACATACGAGTTTCTGGTTGGACAGGGTTTTCACCTATCCCAGACACGCTCGGGGATGGGAATTCAGACTGCGTGTCGCTTAAAGTTGATGACGTAAGCGTGTGCCGAATGTTAATTGGTTGAAAAGAGGGCTGGAGAGAGGGAACAATCAGTTTCGCTTCAGCTCTTCGTACGTTATAACTTTTGTGCTTTCTGCGGCTGGCTGATGGACCAACAACAGCACAAGCAAGAGTGGCATGTACCAGACACTTTGTACACTGCCTCCATCTGACAACAGTGCCCTCTGCAGGCAGACGAACAGTCACTGGATGGGACAAACCCTACCCATGTCGGACAAGTCTTGCTTTATTTATCCAACGCTGGTTTTTGATGCAACCACCCCAAATGTAACCACAGTGAAAAACAATCTGCAAACATACACATAAATATACATACTACACCAGCATAGGCATGTATCTGTTGAAGTCTCACCGTAGGTACAGGATCTCTGCAGGTCCGATATGATTCTGAGAATGTTATTCATCAGGTTTGATCTCTGTTCGTTCTCCAGTATGCTGCCCGTGGAGGGGTAGGCTGAATCTATATATGTCAGATCAGAAAGGTACATTCCTAAAAAGGGAGAAAAAAGCAGATAGAAAGAGATTTCTGTTAAATTAAGAGAATCAGAGCACAACTCCCTCATGCACTCATCCTTCAGTGATCCAAGAGCCCCCTGCAAGCCAAACGAGGACAGCGTCCATCTGTTGGAGGTGTTATTTTAACCCTCAGTGGAGAACACAGGGAGTTTTCCTGACCGAACGCAGAGCTCAGCTCATTAGAAAGCAAACATGTAGACACAAACAAGGCTGGACACTGCAACAGAGCCAGATTTCCTTGGGTGCATGATGCAAGTGTCATGCAGCTGTGGGGTTCTTGGAGTCACATTCAGCTGGTAATTGCACACTGCTTGTTTGATATGGCAAAAACAGACAGGAATAAAAACCCTGCAAAACCTAATTTGCATATACTTTGCTCAAGCTTCAAAAAGACTTTTTCCCTCTGATTTTTTTTTTCCCCAGTGGATCTGAACAAGTGCTCCGAGTAGATCTTCTCTTTAGCCTTTCCAAATCATGGCCATCTCTCTCCCCCCAAACTCTCAGTGCCTATTTCTGGCTGAGATTCTTACTCTCATTAAATAAATATTAACATTAAAAGACAAACCCAGAAGCAGCTTGCCATCAATCTGAAGAGAGTTATTAACAAGTTGAACTGATGGTGCGCATTTCCTTACAGTCCCCTCTTCTTTTCATTTTTCTTGCAGAATGTTTTTTTTTTTTGGACACGCCAGGGTCGAGATTGGGTGCAGATGTAAGAAAACTTATCACACAGCAGACTACATGACACCCACAACCCTCCCCTCCATGGAAAATGGTGTAATACACATAGCACTGCTGACAGAGAGCCTAAACACACAACGGCAGGAGGAGATCCAACAGATAAAGGAGGTCACACTTTGTTTTTGGGATAACACACACACACAGCTGATTAGAATTAGAGGGAAAGGGTGAGAACAGAAGAAAAAGTTTACAAGTGCTTTTCAACTCAGCAGTGAGTTGGGGAGAAGAGGAGGAAGAGAGAAATCCTAAAGGCTTAACCGCTATAGCTTCTTGTCTGAGAGTATGTCAGGGATAACGGCGGTTAGTCATGCACAAATCCATACTGGAACACGCAGACAGAAGCATGAGTAGAGAAGCTGTGGTTTGCATACACAGGCACTTTGCATATGTTTACTTGCAGCAAAACTTGTACGAGATGGAAATAAATAAATAATCATGGCAAGAAGGCAGAAATTCGATCACAAATCAGGGAGAAAATTCTTCCAAAATGGTTAAGTAAGATCTTTTAAACATTACAGCTTAAACATGTATGAATAACACATTCAAGTAAATCACAATGGTGACAAAAAGCAAGTTAAGTCCAAATAAACTTAGAGTAAACCTGGAGTGACCATTTTGCACCAGTAGTGCCACGAATCATTTCTATCTGCCTGCTTTGGTCTCCGACTCTCACATCCAGCTGTTCTCTACAGGAAGAAGCTCCGAAACCCCAGCAGCATTACAATCAGCTTTTCTCGTTGCTACAGGGAAAAGCAAAAGGAGGGGAACTTCAAGTTGTAATTAAGGATGAAGAGGTCAAAGCAGTCCTGGACTCAGCAAAACACCTGAATTCAAACAGGCCTTGTCTCTTTGCTCCCTTATACAAAAACCACACAGGTCATTGTTAAGGATGGGACATTTAATCAGCAGCTCTGCCATTTTCTTTTTCAGTCTTTTCTTTTCTTTATCACTTATGACATCAGAGGTAGGCTGGGCGACTAAAAAATAAATAAATAAAATAAAGGAGGGAGGGGAGAAAAAAAAAAAAGCAATCTTCAACACCCACACCCTCATCCCCCTTCTCCTCCCTTCTCTTCCTTCTTCCCCTCCCTCTTCTAGTCTCCCCCATGCTTTGTGAAAAACTCAAGGCATCAGTGGTGAGAGCTCAGTCTGTTGAAGTGGCCGGCTTTTGAACCATACCCCAGTCTGAGCACCAGGAAAGTTCACAGGGAGCTTCGGGAAGTAGGGCCTTGACTAAAGCCTTGCATTGTGATTTATTGCTACAGAACAGGAGGAGTGAGTAGAGGAGAGAACCTCTGAAGACTTGGACAAAGAGAGAGACAGAGACATGAGTCCTGCGCACTGCAGCCCGGTGAAGACAGAATATAATATACACGTGACACCATAACTGCAGGAAAACATCCATCTCACTACTGGTAACAAAAAGGTAAACGCTGCTCGAGTTTTATTCTGTTTTCAATTTTGATTTTGGAATCAGTGAGTGTGTGTGTCTGTCAGCAAGATGGTGTTTTGTGTGTGTCTGGGCAGCTGTGAGAGCTCTGGCTGAGAGGTTGGAGAGGTTAGGACGTTTCGTGACTGGAGGTTACATCTGCAGACAGAAACATTTAGCAACGCTTCTTTGGCTATCCCCTGGAGTCTGACTGAGAAATACCGTGTACAGCATACTGAGAAGTGTATCGTGTATACATTTAACATATGTAATGTATATGAGGCCAACAAAGAAATCTGGAGAATTTATGATCCTAGTTGTATTAAGGAAGGGCAAAAACAACTGAATTCATAAAGTACAACTATTTCTGGTGTGCAGGACCATGATTTACATCAGTTATGTAAAATGATTTTAAAAAATATACAGTCAATGAGTTGTTTCATCTAGATGCGAGAATGGAGAAACATCCAAGATCTTAAACTTGCTCTGAAAATGACATTAAACCTTACCTGAGGAGAAAGAAAAAGCCAGAGAGAAGACCAAAAAAAAAAAAAAAAAAAAAAAAAAAAAACACCAGGGGAAATTCCAGCAAAACATTTGAGGGAGAGTGATCAGCTCAGATGGAGAGAGCTGATCACTCAGCTCTCTCCTAGGCCTGTTTATTTTTTCTTGGCTTTTGGTTTCCTAATACAGTCTGAACCTGGCTGCTAACAGGGGTACAGGGATGTAGCCGAGTTAACCTGGTGGAAATCGGGGTTAGGCCAATAAGTTCCATCTGTACATTCAGACGTGGTGACATCTCATCTCACCTCACAGCCCCTTTTGGAAGGCTTAAAAGTGAGCAGATTGTTTCTATGACAGTTTATAAGCTCCCCGTTCAGGGTCGTGTTAAGGGAAAAGATAAAAATGCAGCGTAAGCCAACCTTAACCACATCCTCTATCAAATACACCCCATGGACATAAGACACTTCAGTCCCAACCTTGTCATGATGGCAAAAGCTTTGAACACTAATAACATCAATATGGTGCTCTTCCATATCAGCAACTCACAATTATCTTCAAATGTTTTTGCTTACGTCCTGGTCTGTTGGTGGTATCTGTGGAAACATTCTGCTCGCTACAAAGCCACATCTGTGAATGCTGTAAAGGTCCGTGAGAGACACGCAGACCTTCAAAAAGCCAGTGTTTGAAGTAAAAGGCAAAATGAGCGATGGCGAAAAGGAAAGAAAACACTGCACGAGCATGCTCATTTTTCCGCTTAGAGTAATAAATCATAATATCGATACCTCTAATAATTCAGGCTGGAAAAATAAGTGGGAGAAAAAAAAAAAGATAAAAAAAAAGATAAAGGGGAGGCAGGAACAGCTGTCTGAGAAATATCCAGAACATTCCGTGCTGAAGCACCAGCATTCGGCTCTACCTGAACCGTGACTGCACGAAGGACAGGCTTTAAAAACGGGTCATTACTTACAATCCACGCATAAACTAACCATACTCATAGCCTTCACCTTAAGAGTTTTAAATCACAGCAGAACATCTGTTTGATGTCTTTTCTATTTAAAGTTTGCAAAAGTCCCATGACAAGCCAGTCAGGCAGTGCGTGGCCCATCAGAGTCAGTTACCTGCAGCCCTCCCCACCAGTCCCTTCATAGACTATGCTGTAACTCAGCACGGGACTCATAACTCACCCAGCCAGCACCAACAAACAGCTGCGGTTTTTGGGCAGCAGGCATGCATCCAACCGTATCTTGCATTTTTAACCCGTGTCAATGCTAGTCTCAACTGATTTTATCTGCAAAACGCAGCCAATTAGAGAAGCGGACAAAGATAACATCCTGGATAAAGTCTTATCCAAAAACACTGCTCCTGCACTACTGTGTGCACATGTTAAACCCAACCACAGAACAACAACTCTGACACATTACATATCTCTTAAAACTCAAACCGACATTATGAGCCACACAAACTTTTAGACTTTATAAAGACATACAAAAACTAGTGGAGGATAAAGGATAGTCACAGGAAAGTTTGTTTGAACTGTGAAGCTCATTAATGAGAGCTTGGACACAGCTGAACAGACTGGTCACCGTAGGGAGGAAGAGGTCAGCCAGGAGGTCAGGGTAAATAGACGGGTGAAGTGGAGGCATGCAACTAAGTAGAGCCAGTGGACAACAAGCGTGTAATGCAGTGTGCAAATTTATGTGTTCTTCCTTGTTGATTTAGCTAATAGAAAGCATGTGAAGTCTGAGGTTTGAGTTTAAGGCTAGGTGTGACTCAGAAGAGAAATAAAAACCAAGGAAAAGTATGCACGAGTGGCCAAAGAATGTACTAAATCAGAAATTTTAAACCATCCAGCCAAACAAACATTCATATAAATTCTTTTTTTTTTTTTTTTAAAAATATTTTCCCCCCTCCTTGCTCTCCTGGATCGCCTGACCTTCCTGAAAGTAATTTTTGCTGCACAAAACCTGAAGCAGCAATCCAGATATTCATTTATTTATCAGTTATCAACCAAAGAGCACGCCGAGGTGAAGCTACAGCTAATCTATCAACCTAGCTAGGTTAATTTTAAATTAATTTTCACCAAGAAACTGGGACTGTTGTGGAGGGTTACATCAATAAACATATAAAAGACACAAAATTAATACCAACCTATCGGTGGAGCACACACAGAACAGTCCCAGTTTCTCACGTGACCCATTGAGAAGACAAATTAGCCACGTCTGACTGAGAAAATACACTATACAAAGGAAGATGCAAGTTTATGGTGTCATCAGTTGGTTTTTTTCATGCACAAGAATGAATAATGCCAAAGATGTGTGTGTGCGTCGTCTATTCTATAGCAGGGGAAGCAAGAGGAAGAGTGTCATGTAATAATGACAGTGTTGGAAATCTCAGTCATTACATTAAGCACAGCACAGACAAAAGGATGACCCTGAGTTTCTGTGCATTTAAGTGCATGTTATGAACGCAGAGTAAGACGGGGAACCCGCTTTGCACAAAGACCAATTGATTTCAGGGCGGATGAGTGGGTGGGGGCAAAGTAGAGGAAGGGTGGGACTGTACCCTAATCTACAAATAGACCTCTGACCCCAACAACAGTCTCGCCCCACATGTTTATAGAGTTTCCCCTACAGAAGAAGGAAAACAGATGGGGGGCCCGTAGGGCCTCAGGTAGCATCATCAAGGACGACAGTTTAGTAGCTAGAAAAGCAGGAGGTTGAAATAACTTGTTAGTAAGGGTTGGTTTTATTAAAAATACAGGCCACCATCAACTTAATATTCAAGTTATGTTTAGTGGATTGCCTTAAGTTCCAGTAAAAACCTCCAGTATCCGTTTGTGGCTCAGGTTTTCTAATAAAAAGAAAATCCTACTGTAATTCTTTGCATCTGCCCTCATTTCCCTTTTAGTTTTACACCATGAACTGATATAAAACATTCCCATTACTTACTGTACCGCAATGTAATTTGTATTCCATTTTAGAAGCGGCATTTAAAGTTTCTTCAGTTTTGATGAGGCTTTTACGAGTTTTCTGTGTTTTTAGCACTCCTGTGTGAATGCTGGTTTTTTTTTGGTTTGTTTTTCTTCTCATTAACTGCTTCATAATGTCAGCGCTTTTACTACATCCCCGCTCATGCCGAGTTATCCTCCCAAAGCCATTTATTTACTCACATTTTCATTCTATCCTTCATCAAAAGCAAGTTAGATCGTTTCTTTGTTGGCCGTTCTGCGTACACTTCTGTAACCTATTGTTTCAGCAAGCGGAGGAAAAGTTTGACTTTGAGTTACTCATGTAACTCAACTCTGTCTGAGGTCATGAACAGAAAAAAGCTGCTGCTGTTGTTGTTGCCGTTTCCACGTTGTTCCTTGAATGAGAATAAACCTCTTTCCTTCACTCATCCCTATTTTGTTTTCACGTTCCCTTCTTTTTGTAACCAGTGATGAGGTGTTTGGAGGTATTTTGGACTTATTGTGGGAAAGTCTGAGGACCAGATGAGGGAGTGGAAGCAGAGGATTTTGGAGGCTGGGAAAAAACATTGACTTTGAAAATATAAATAAATTCTATCCAAGTCATTCTCTCCCACTGGCTGGACTGCAATCCATCAAGTGAGAGACTGACACATTAGAAACCCACCGTGGGCGCTGAAACAAACATGCTGCAGACTGATATTATACATATGTACAGGAGGTTACAAACTGAAGCAAAAACAAATCTAAAGTTTCTCATTAAGGTATTAAGCTCCCATGTGCCACCAACACAGCTTTAAAGGCACCACAGATTTTATTCTCCAACTCTATGAAACATTAAATGAGGGATAAACATCATTATCTTCATAGTTATCCCCTTGTATAGACTTTTAATATCGCTGCGTAACACGTTGGCCTCTAAGGCCACAGCATGGTTTACATCAATCTTATACTCATACTTACATACATACTTTGGTGCTCTAAGGAAACAAGTAAACCCAAACATCTCCTCACTGCAAGGTTCAAGCACTTAGGCCTATACTTTTCTCCTGGTTTATGGAACATGTACTTCTCCACTAGCTGAGACTACAGTTAAACTACTTATGTAACCACTTGAGCAGACATCTGGATCAGGTCCGCCATCTTCACATGAAATCACAATCAACTGGCTCTTCTCAGAATTTCTGGACATAATATAGAGCAAGACTGTGTGTAAACAGCCTAACAAACAGCACACTTGTAATTACACATCTAAGTTTCTCCACGCAGTTGTTCAGATCTTTCTTTTAATTTATCACTTGTCTGTTTGGCATTCCTTCTAAAGTACACACTTCATTCACCTGTAACCAGACACCTACAGGTGTATGACAATCTCCATGCAGGCAGTTTATAGTAAATATTTGTAATAGTTTTCTTTAGGTGACAAATGAATATATGTTTTTTGCAATTATGCACAGTGAAACCCAAGGTTATAAGAGTGCCTGCCATATGGCCATCTCTGTGAAGTCAGCCTCAACAATCATTATGCTGTCTATCCGAATATTACAAGCTAATTTTTCCCTGCCAGGAGTAAAGTAAACAGATGTCTTACTTAATGACTTCTCTGGTCATTTCCTCTCTTACAACAATGATAATATAATTATAACATCAGCCTCTACACGAACAATCTAAAGGTAGACGAAAGCCAGTTTCTCTCCAGAGGAAACTGGCTGTCATTGTGCAGTCATTGTAAATATAGTACGCCAAGACCCATTTAAAAAAATGCAGTTAATTCAGCATGGCGCCAATTCTCATTTTGTAATTCGTAATTTTGTTTTTGTATAGTTTTTGTTTTTTCATATGTGGGCAAGTGCGGTGAACCCCTTTATGTTTTTTTAAATCATTTACAAAATGACTAAAAAACAAAACAAAATATAGTGCAACTACAGCTGAAGTGCAGAATTTGCATTTATAATAGTGTAATGGTTCATACAGTGGAATGACTGTGGATTGAAAATAAATTAACCCACAGCACAGACAGGGGCATACAAAAAGAGACATGCCGACAGGGGAGTGAGATACTGTAAGATAGATAAGGAAGTGCATACCCTGCATGACAGAGGTGCATGAGATCATACTACTGCCAAAAAGATGGAGGAAAAAAGAAAAGGCATGCAGAGGTGACCGTTTGTCAGTCCTTCACTGGTTTCAAATGGACTACACAATTTTTTTGCTAGTAAGGCAGCACCAACAAAAAAATAAATCCTATTCATATTAAAGTAGAAAATTGGTTTAAATGTTTCTTATTTGGTATACTACTTACAGTCTAATTCTCCCATGTGCTTTTAGTTAACTGTAACTGAAAAGGGTGGAAGGAGCACTAAACAGAGGGAGCAAAGAGGAAGAAAAGCAATGAAAAAAAAGGGGGAAAGTTGAGAGGATGGGGCTTTCACATTGAAAGAAAGCGCCAGAGAATTCTGTTAAGAATAAAAAGGAATGAGAGTAGTTTATGTATGAGAGGATTTGCCTCAAGTTACGTTCACGATGACTGACCTGAAAGGCAAAGACGGGCCATGACCCATTTTCTACCACCATTACTTTCTTCCATCTTTAACCTCCCTACTGTTTCTCAACCACCTGACAATACATTCTAAGTGAAATAATACTTGCAGCCTATAACTTGCACATCAAGTTTGTGACCTTAAGCTAACTTGGTACTACACATTCTTGCTTCCTGACTCCAAAAACACAATGTTAATGTCCTGATGGCTGCATCCATCTTTTATACACAATGCAGAGCCTGAGGAGAAATCAACGAGTGTGAACTCATGCATATATGGACAGATGTGTACTACTGCACAAGTATAAAAAGATACGTTACCAGATGTTCTTTAAACACAGGTGAGCTTTGTGTTTTTCTTTTAACAACACTTACAGGCCTGAACCAATTTAGATGGTTTTTTTCCCTCTTACTCAAAAGGGCACTCTGCTTGTTCTGGTGAAACACTGTCAATGTTGTACCTTTACAACACACTACTGACCTCTCAGCATCTCCTGGAATGTCTTTGATATGCTACGTTTCCATGAAAAGATACTAGGCCCCTCATACTCAGAACCACCACACAGAAGGAAATAAAATGAAGGTAGGAGCTGAGAGAGCGAAGGGATAGAAGAAAGGGACTGTAGGTAGGTGCTAAGGCAGGCAATAACTGATAGATGAGCTGTGATGTTACAGTTCTGTTCATGCCTCGTACGCTTTATGAATATGAAGACTTTCTGGAACTGATAAGTTTAAAAAGTCAGCCACAGTTTAGGAGAGAAGACACTTGAAGACTGATAGTGCTGATGCTGCTGGTAAAGTCATTAGCAGCTCTCACCAAGGTCAGCAAGGATACAGTACCTGGTTACGCTGTCAGACACACAAGCTGCTGGAAAAACATACAACCATGAAAATGAATAACATCTCTGAGTAGTCATGCACACAGAGTATTCAATCATACAGACAGACACACAAACTTAAACATACCATTAAAAAGGTACACACGCACGCATACACCCTGCAGATCTAGAGTACTAACTGTAATTCTGCCCCCTTTCAACATTGTTCCAAGTGACATAATTGCCAGAATTCCTGAAGAACCACAATGGCGTCATATGGGAGACACACAGCGCCTGAGTTTCAGGGTGGAGGGTAGGCCATAATGATGTGGCATAGAGAAAAGACTGACTGTGAAGAGTGATGGAGGGGATTAGGAGGGATAGAAAGTCTTGGCCTTGCATAGGACCAGGTCGGGTGTTAAATTGAGCAGTACATGAGACTGTGAGAGCGCTTTTTGTGTTTGTATGCTGATGAGAAACAGAACAAAAAAAATCACAAGGGGAAACAGCTTTGCACATATTTTTGATTGATTTCTGACTTAATCTCACATCCATTAGTGACTGTCCTGCATGCATGTTTGGAAAATATAATTTAAATAAAATATAAATAGTACCTCTTACCCAACACCTGTGCTGGCATGTTTAACTGTGTCAAGGAAACTGCATTAGGGTCAATTTGTGGTTGGTGTGTTTCAGGTGAGGCCAGTGCAAGTAGCCAACCTAGTTACAAAGGACAGTAACATTATATCTAAGCTGTGGAAGTAGCAAGTCAGAAGCCAGGTATTTATATTTTAATGTCATGGTGGAACAACGTGGACTAGACTTTATATCTAAAAAAAAAAACAAAAACAAAAAAAAAACAACAACAACTATACAGCCAAGTGGCACTGAATTTCCTACTGAGGTGCATGGCCACAACATTTTACACCCTCTTAAGGCTGGAGTACTCCCTCTATTGTATGCAAAAGGTTTTTACGCTATGCTAAAAAATGCCAGAAGCTTAGTGAGGTGCTTTTTAGCAGCCTGTGCTGCATGCTAACCACCGTTTCCTGTTGCGCTAAGAACTGAAAAATGCTCAGCTACGGGTAAAATCTGTCTCATTACTGTCACTTGAAAATCACACTGGAGGACAGGTGAGACAAATACGGTAACGATACGATAACAATGGAGCAGATTATACCGCTCTGTTCTCAAACGACCCATGTCTGTAGCAGATGACATCTCCAGCATGGCACATTATTGTTAAAAAGCTTGTTGATACATTTAGCTTGATGTGGGTCTGCCATGTAAGCATCGATCAGCAAGAATCAGGTAACTGTAACACATTAGGTTGCCATTTTGTGTCATATCAATAAAAGTGTATCTGTTGTGGGGGAAAAGAAGCTAAGAAGAGACTGTGCTTTGCAAGTCCCAACTTAAAAATAAATGAAGTTGCCATCCATTTTCTGCTGCTTCCAGTATCTACAGTACAATCCAGAAACTGGAAGTTGATTCCTGTGGTCAACTTGCTGAGAAGTACCATAATTTCTAAAAAGGGTTTCTGATTCCTACAGTTGGGGGAAAATAACAAAACAAAAAAAAAAAAACAACTTTAAGTAGGATCTTATAGAAGCCGGGAGGATGGGAGTTTGCCAAGTCTCTGTCCTAGACTAAAGAAGATAAACTAAATTCAAGGGCAGGATGAAGATAAAGATAAATCAGCAACAGTTAGATATCATACCTCCTTAATAGGGGGAAACCAAGAGAACCTCTGAATAATGGGGTGTCTGTCAGCAGGGGAACTAACTAAGACAGAAAGCAGACGTAAGCCAGTTGGCTGGACAGAAAATGTGTTCTCTCTTTGACTATTTCCACACAAATAACAGTCTGTGGGAGCAGTACGTGACAAATTCTCAACTGGATACTTTCCTAAACAATTAGATTGTCTGCTGATATCTTTTTTTAAGAAAGAAAAAAAAAAAAGCTTCAAATACTATTTCATCAAAATACTATATCCCTCTGCTCTGGAAAAGCAAACAATTAACAGTCCTGGTGTTTTATTCATTGTACACAAAGAAAAAGCTGTTTCCTTAACTCCTAAGGTCGTGTGTTCTTTCAGGGAGGCCTGGAGGGAGTACCAGCAGCTGCCCATCTATCCATTCAGTCAGCCAGCAGCAATGCAAGGGCTGATGTGGCGTCTGTGCGCCTTGCTCTGCCTCTCCCTCTGGCAGGAAAGTTACTGCAGGAGCTCCAGGGAAGCCCGGAGGACCAAAGAGCCTTCTCTCCACAGGAGTAAAAGAGCTCCTCTGGATCCTGATGCCAAAAAATGCTCTTATACCTTCCTTGTACCTGAGCAGAGAATCACAGGTAGAAAAGATGCTATTTTTCGAAAAGTACCCTTAGTACAATATGGTTGAACTAGTCTCTCTTTTGCTTCCCATTACATCAAAACAGCTTCTTATTAATCTCTTAAATCATATCTGTCATCAGGTCCAATCTGTGCCAGCACCACAGGCCCAGAGCCAGACAAGGAAAGAGTGACCCGTATGGAGATTGCAGATGTGCGGGATGTGCTCAACAAACAGCGCCGTGAGATTGAGACGCTGCAGCTGGTGGTAGATGTGGATGGTAACTTGGTGAATGAGATGAAGCTGCTGCGGAAAGAGAGCAGGAACATGAACTCCAGGGTGACCCAACTATATATGCAGCTGCTACATGAGATCATCAGGAAGAGAGACAACTCCTTGGAGCTCGCCCAGCTGGAGAACCGTGTCCTCAATGTGACCTCAGAGATGATGCGACTGGCTTCAAGGTATAGGGAGCTAGAGGCCCGTTTTGCCACAATGGCCGGAGTGGTCAACAACCAGTCCATTCTCATATCTGTACTGGAGGAGCAGTGTATGAGGACGCTGGGACGCAGTGAGCTGCCTGCAGTTCCCCCTCTGGTGCAGGTGGTACCGCAGAATATACCAGTCAACAACCGTTTCACCAATGAGATACAGAGGGACAATAACAACAGGGAGTTCTCCCGTGGACCACGCATCAACCCACCTACAATAAGCCCTTTTGGGATTGACCCTCCACCACCGCAAGGAACGCTTACCTCTGATGGCAAGTACAAATTTAAAATAGCAGGCAAAGACTGAGGACTGTAAAACAGTCAGGAATCTAATGACTTTTAGTAGGCTGACGCTGAGCAAAAGTAAGATGTCTTAAGTAACTGTCAGAAACTGTGCTAATTGTACACACAACTACTAAAGTATAATTAGCTAGGGATCGCAATTCAAAACCTAATTTCTCGCAACAGTTGGTACTGTTGAGGCACAGTTGGCTCATGCTTGGCATGCTACAGAGGCAGTGAAATCATACATTCCTATGATCCCACTTGGCTGCTTGTATTGGCAGCATGATACCGAGCATATGCACTAAATTAGTGGGATGGGGATTAGGCCTCTTTTAACAGCATTAAGAAGACTTGGTAAAATGGGAAAAGATATATCTTCAATTGGATAAGTAAAGGGGCAGGGTATAGTTAAAGTACCCATCCACTGGATTTGCCCAACAAGTCTGAGAACCCTGCACTAAAATAACTAATCAGTTAAAATCCTCTAAATAGACAATGCTCCTTTGTTCTTTTCTTCCAAAAAAAAGTTGACCATCCTGACATCTGAGAAAGATAATCGCCAATGTGAAACTAATTTGCAAGGTAGACTGCTACTTGGAAACGGCTCCTAAAACTTGGTCCGGGCGCTTGTATTTTGACTGGCGATTAAAGTATGGGGAAGAATGTTGAAAGGGGTTATACAAGCCCTTAAACGGTGAAACAGACAAAGGGGAAAGCAAAACAAAGCCTGTCTGAAAAAATGATGGGTCAGAACCAGACAAATTTAAGGGCCAAAATAAATGTATTTTTGACAGGGTCACAGTTTAACTACATTATCGTCATCATCATATCATCAAGTTTAAACCAATACATTTCACAGCTTATTTGTAAATTACCCTTTACTTTCAGTCATTTGGTATGCATGTCTATGGCGAATTATAAGGTAGGTATGTGTATATATATATGGAGCCTGAACATCCTCGGCTGGGCAAACTATATGAAAGCACCCAAAATTCACCTTAAAAAAAAAAAAAAAAAAAAAAAAGGTATCAGAATGAGAAAAAACCCCCAAAACAAACAAACAAAAAAACAAAAAACACCACATTTTTATATCAGGAAATATTTGAGAAAACATGCACCAATGCCATAAAACTGCATCTATGATATGGCAAAGCATCACCTATTCTGGGCTTTACATATGGCAGAGTTAAATAATGACATAAAATTCAGATGTACACTATTTTGGAAATAATTAAGTCAGTTTTTCTGTTTATGATCATTCGGGCGGCATAGTTAGACCTTAGCATTATGATATTTTTGCTTTGTTTAAAAGGCATCAGCTTACAGTCACTGTCCTGTCATTGCAAAAAAAGAAAGAAAAAATTTAAGTCTATACAAGAGTTAATGCCTATACAGTCATTTTAAATGTGCGTTAATCACAAGTGTCTGGTTTCTCATGAAAGCCCACATCAATCAGTGAAACACTGTTCTTCTTAAATCACAGACCTGTCGCCACCTCCACTGACATTCAAATAATGACATGCTTCTTTTAAGCTCAAAGAGCAGAGGAGCATATTTTAAAAGCCTCCACGCAGAAAAAAAATCTCCAAAGAAACACAAAGGTAGAAGACGGCATGAGGTGAGGAAGTGCTCGTGGGAGGTAAAATTGCAGAGACTGAACTTGTAAATGACAAGAAGACCGCGTATCCTTTTAACTACCTCTAGCTATGTGGAGTTCCTCATCTGCCTTACCAAGCTGTAACTGTCTGATTAGTTATCAGCCGATTAAAGTGTATTTGAACTGACAGACATACTACAAACAACATTCTGACCATATCCTTACTGACCTTATCCATCAGCTGCTGTTTTCACTCGATTAGTGGTGCTCCTTCATGATCGAGATAAAAAGTTATAATAGGAAGATTTAATTTTGTTTTTTTCTATGGAGTTTTTATGGATGAGTTTTTGCAGCAGATAGGATAGATCTGAAACAAGGAGGGAAAAGTGTAAAACAGAAAGCCACCACAGGTCCTAGCAGCCCCTCTTCCATGTAGGTTTATACAAGTATAAATACGCACCGCTTCGCCACAGTTTGGTCTAGCTGAACCAACTACTATGTATTATACTGGGTACCTATGTGCTTTCAGAGAGTCTACCACAGGCCTCTAGACTAGACAGACAGACAGACCCAGCTTGTGTTGATACTGGTTTAATAAATATTCACAGAGAGAAAGAAGAAATGTGGCCGGTTTAGATTCAGCTGCTTCAGCTCAGCTCTGGTGCAGCGCCACCTCATAGCTTTGACTGAAGGTGGAATCTAGGTGAATATTAAATAACAGCTTTGGTGTGCAGATGAAAGCTTATGTTACTTCAGACTGTGGGATGTTTGGGTGGTCTGAGCAAAGATGTTAATTCCCAGCTTTGTCTTCCCTTTTAATCTAGTTTATAATGACTTCTGTATGTTAACTACAAAGAGTGACATTTAAATCAGGACATAGTCAAGTCTGATTATTCAGAAGTTTCCAACTGTGTGCAAGTCAGATAATTTGTGTTGTTTAATAATTAAATAAAGAAAAATCAAGATTCTGCAAGTTAGTCAAAGATATGGTAATACATGGCTTTTTAGTGCAAGTTACGGCTCATCTTAGTATCATGCGTACCCTTGTCCTCAAAATTATCACCTATTAAAATCACCACTTGGATTTCTCAATATTAACAATATAATTTATATGCAGATTAAAATATCACAAATGAGTGTTCATCAATATTAATGTTCAAATAAGAACCGCTCATTTATCTTCCTCTTCTACATCATTTACAACACCAGGTCCCTTCAATGACTGCTACCAGGTGCGAAAGGCAGGCTACACCACCAGTGGTATGTACCTTCTTAAGGCAAACGGCAGTGACCGACTGATCCAAGCCTGGTGCGAGCATGGCCTCGACAATGGAGGATGGACAGTTATGCAAAGGAGGAAAGATGGCTCTGTTAACTTCTTCCGTAACTGGGAGAACTACAAGGTAAGTTTACGGAAAAGGAGTTTAATGAAGTAACAGCAGGTCTGACAGGACATGTGATAAGAATTTGGCATTTCAAGGACACAAATGTACAATAACAGTAGGTTTAGGGCCACTAGCCAAGAATATGTAGCTTACCCTGCAGATGATCATAAAATCTATACTGAACCTATGATTGGCTAGTTGCTTATGCCAATGGCCCAAAAATAAAGTGACAGATAAAGAGACTCTGTATCACTCTTTTCACAAGTCCCACCTTCAAGAGAGCAATGCCAACAAAATTAGTAAGTTTGTGCAGCCCACCCCTTTCCTTAGCAGCCCAGTCTCTGAGGTTCATTTTAAGGTCACTAAGCAAGCACTTGTTCAAACAGTGTAAATAGCTTAGTGGTGGATTTCCTCACACTGAAACTGCAGCCAAGAACTGAATCCAGGGACAAATGTATGCAATAAGAGAGCCCCAAGGGCTGAGAGGGAAACGCAGCTCCCCTCTCAACCCCACTGGAAATGACCCCTGTTTCTCTACTTCCCATGTCTCATCCTTATGAGATAAGATGACCTTTTTTCCTGTGTCATTTCTACCAAAATGCCTGACCTCCGTTTTCTCTGTATGTGATGAAGGCAAATTGCAGGAGTTCTCCTTGAGTCATAAAATTTGGATTCATGTATTAATACGGTCATGGTGATTGGATTAGAGACAGAAAACACTTGTGCAGTTCTCCACTTGCTGCATTCAACTCTCCATCTAAAACACTGCCAAATCATCGCTGGCTTTGCTGTTCAACAAATTTGTAGAGTGAGAAACCGCAGATCACAACCTTAACACATTATCATTTCAATGGGAAACAGATTTGATTTCAATTCACTTGATTGCAAGGAGAAAACTCATATAAACACAGCTCCCTGGCAAGAATTCATAATAACCTCACTCCATTTTAATGTTTGTGTTCTTTGGAAACGATTTGCCTTCACTGACCACAGAAGCAAAAGATCTATTCATTCACCATTTAGCTAAACCGCAGTATCCAGCTTACGTAAATTAGTGCTACACGTACAAAAGTAGTGACATTGAAATCACAAGTGAAACTGTCGTACTGTCATAATGTGGTGCCTGTCCCCTGCAGAAAGGCTTCGGTAACATAGATGGCGAACACTGGCTCGGCCTGGAAAACATCTACAATCTTACGAAACAGGGTGATTACAAGCTGATGATAGAGCTGGAAGACTGGACAGGAAAGAAGGTGTATGCCGAGTACAGCAGCTTTCATCTGGAGTCTGAGAAGGAGGGCTACCGGCTGAGGCTAGGCACCTACCAGGGCAATGCTGGTGACTCCTTTAGCAGTCACAACGGCAAACAGTTCACTACGCTCGATCGTGACAAGGACTCCTTCTCTGGTAGGGGGACATATTGGTTACATTAGTTTGAAATAATTCATGCATTACGCTGATCTTATTTTCTGAGCCTGGGTTCTTCTCTTCATTAGGTAACTGCGCCCACTTCCACAAGGGCGGCTGGTGGTACAATGCCTGCGGACAGACCAATCTGAATGGGGTGTGGTACAGCGGGGGAGTTTACCGCAGCAAGTTTCAGGATGGAATCTTCTGGGCAGACTACGGGGGCGGTTTCTACTCCCTAAAATCAGTCCGCCTCATGATGCGGCCAATTGACTAGGACAATAAACTGTGGTTCTTTCAGATGCATTTCAGTCTCCATCCTTATCGTTCTCTACCCATAAATAAATAAATCCCGTAAAGGCAGAAGCAGGAATCTCTGCCACATCTGAGGAAGAGGTAGCGACATGTTTATGGCCAACAGTCCACTCTGTGGCTAGTTAACATGAAGACTGATACCACCGCCTTCCCCAAGTAACTACTCTCCATCTATCAGTGTGGACAGTCTATGAAGTTCCCTGAGGCCTTTTAGTATGACTGTGTCCTATTTTACTCACTCTTCTTGAGATTAAGTATGTTATAAAGGGAAATTATTATTTACTACAGTGATGAGATTTCTTCTGAGCAGCTAATGGCGACTTATTGAAAGTGTTCCCCATAGGACGGGGCATTGAATAAACTGCGATGTTTAATCGTGGTAGCATGAAAATTAATGCAATCTAAAGTAGTGCTGAGAAGACCTGCCAAACAGTGAGAGGAAATAAATAGTTCACCTACTGTCTACCGTTTCTACTGGATTTCCTGGACTTCTGGGGCAACAACCGACCCCCAGCACCAAACCCACAAACCCACCGACTGAACAAGAACCTGTGCAACAATGTGCTTGTTCAATGTGCATATGGCTGAGACGGCTTTAGTATGTAAATATCTTTGGCTTTATTTGTGAAAGTTAATTTAAAAAGGTTGTGATTCTACTCAGGCCAAATGTTCACAATGTCATCACTCTGCCATTCTTTGTTATTTAACAGTGTATTTATATTTAATATAGTCATGGCATTGTTATATCTAGCCCTGTAACAATACAATTCTTTACACTTTTCTTATCCAGTGTAGAAATACATCAGTAGCACTTCAACACACATACACACACATGCGCGCAAACACACAAGACAAAACTACCTGGAGTGGATATCTAGTTGACTTTAGGATGGACAAGTTGTGACATGAGCTACCAGCCATCAGAGAGGAATTAAATTCTTTCATAAACAATAAAATGTCTCACTTTTCACTACGCTTCTTGTTTTAATAAATAGCAAGACTTTCATAAAATCATTTCCCACACGAATACACTTGCAAATGTCACTGTTTAAAATATTAGCACAGCAATTTTATTTATAAAGGATGACAGCATCGCCTAAAATAAGCCACTATGTTGGATCTGATTTAGTTGCAATCCAAGCTGTCATAGCAATGAATAAGATCAGGGAGACTTCCAAATTAAAGGAAGTGAACAGAAATTAGCTCTGACCACACACGGGGACTGCATTTACAAATTTACAGTAGGTCAGATGTGAGACAAGAATTGTCATTTATGTCCCCCTGTTTAGCCGGAGTTTTTCAGAGAACTTAATAAAGCAACATAAACTGCCATAACTAAACATCTTCTAATTTGGAGACAAGTCAACAAACTAGTATTGACCAGTCATCTTAAATTATGCCTCCACTAGACTCTTCTTTTAGAAGAACTGTAAGTCAGAGCAGACCGAAGCTTTGCGCTCTAAAGGTCCGGGGCAGATGAGGACTAGCCGTACTAGAGCCTGACACAGAGGACTGTAGGTTACAGGAATTGGTTATGAAAAGCTCCCGGCCCCAACCCCGCTGGCAGGATTTTTGATGTGAGATATTTGACACTTTTAACTTGCTGTTTTCCATTACATTAGTTATTCCAAACGCTGATGCTCGTGTCCCACAGCTACCACTACTCAGCAACAGCAAGCTGGAGTTGGAGCACCGCTGAGCTCAATTCTGGCATTCTGTAAAAATCTCTCTCCCCTAACAAGAGGCCAAAAACTGAAAATACACGCTACAGCATCGCATTAATAAAATTACACTGGGACTATCATAAATATTAACGAGCTCTTTATCAGTGACATCCTGTTCAGAGAAGTGTAGCACCAAGCTACACGAACACAAAGGATATTTTTAATCCGTTTGTGCAACCAAGCAGATCGCGGCCAACAGCTGTTGGTTCAATTGTGTAATTGAAATCGAAAACTTTATTATTTTTAGCGTTTAAAATCAGATGCAAATCAAATAGGTTTTATTTTCTTCCATGTGTACAGTACCTATGATCCTGTATTAGATATTAGATCACTTGTCGAGCAGTGTTTAGCAACACCAAAGACACTGGTGGCAAAGTTTTGCTACTGATATACTGCTTTTGCTAGACAAGGTGAAGGTGAAAGGACAGGAACTATTTTAAACTGCATGAATGGCTTTATTCCTAGAGTTAACCCATATGTTTCTATGGGCTCTTTGTCCCTACACGATTTGCTAGAGATCAAGGATGTGAGCTTAGACAGGAGGCAGCAATGTCTGCCAAACCTAATAGTAGGTCAGAGATCAGACTGTTGCGCATATACACAGTTCAGCACAAATGTGTCACTGTAGAGCCAACACATGGCTCTTTCTCCAGACCGTTTATTGCCAGTGATAGGCATCACACCCAAAAATAATGGAAATTGAGCACAGTCACAAACATGTCAAGAAGCCATTCAAATAAAGTTTAGGAAACAAAACCTTTTGGTAAGAAAACAAGCAAACAACAACAACATGGTAATTTCAGCCCTCTGTTCTAAGTTGGGACTTTAATTTACAGCAACACCCAAATTCAGCAGGTTCTGTGTTTAGACACCAGAGAGGTCAATATGCGAACATCAAGAGAAACCAAACACAAATTTATTCCTTAAGCACACCCAACACTTAGCTGGGAGTGATGCTCTGGAACAAGCACTGCGACTTTCAGTCTCCTGCTCATTCATTCCCGTTTTCTCCACCCTGGAGGAATCGGGAGAATTTACGATTAAGGGAAATGTGCAGGAGCAAGAAAGTGGCAATTTCTCTTTCTCTTGAGCGCCAGGTTGGCTCGATCCAGTCCTGAGGCAGCCAGTTAGTTGGTCACACATCCACAAGCATCATAGACAAGTTTATACTGTAAGGAAAGACCATGCAACTCCCACATATATGCCCTAGAAAACCCCACCCCGAGACAGAGCAACAAATGACGAATGACAAAAGCTTACCGAAAAGTAAGTTTCCTTTTGATTAACATATACACAATGACGACACAGTTTAGATGTGCATTTGTCTTATTGTTTTACAGACATCCATGATGGAGCAGTGTGGGAAAATGGGTCACCTAAACTTTCTTTAATGGCAAACAGACTCTTGCGCGCTGCGTATTTCCTTGTGTCTGTTTGTTTGTGCATACTTGAGTGTCCAAGTCTGAATCACACAGAGGTAGCTATGATACAAGGCTGATTGAAAGGGGGGGGGGGACTGTGGTAGGTTTAAAAAAAGTTATTTAGCCAACCTGAAGTCAAAACAAGAACAAACAGTTCAGCTATAAAACCACACACATGGCATGAACGTTTTCCTTGCAACTCGTAAGGGATTCCTGTGTGATGTCATACTGTGGAACCAGAGGGAAAAAGGAATATGAATATTCAAGGGAAGGAAAAAAACAAAACCTTTTTAACGTGTCCTAGTGATTCATGTGTTTGTTCCTGCTAAAGGGAACTTTGATGTTTCATAAGAGAGCAGAAAATTTATGCTCAACATTCACCA